TCACAAGATGAATCGCAACATGTACAAGCACTCACAACAGTGAAAACTCAAGTTTGGGAGCATCTACCCAAGGGGAAACTTCACAAAAGTGTCACAAGATGAATCGCAACATGTACAAGCACTCACAACAGTGAAAACTCAAGTTTGGGAGCATCTACCCAAGGGAAACTTCACGGAAGTCTCACAAGATGAATCGCAACATGTACAAGCAGTCTCAACAGTGAAAACTCAAGTTTGGGAGCATCTACCCAAGGGGAAACTTCGCAGAAGTGTCACAAGATGAATCGCAACATGCCTTACCCCTAATCTCATGAAAAGCACAAGTCGGATGCACACCAAGCTTAGGAGAAAAAGAAGAAGAAGAAGAAGAAGAAGAAAGAGGAGGAAAAAGAAGAGGAAGGATGAAGAGAAGAGGAAGAGGAAGAAGAAGAAGAAGAAGAAGAAGAAGAAGAAGAGGAAGTTTCCCCCTCTTTCCACTCACCTCCTTGCTAGTTCCCTGGTGATGAAGTCCCAAGCTTGGTTCTAGTTCCTTGGATATGGCTTCCTTTCTCCTTCCTCTTCCACTTGTCCTCTCAGTTTATGGCCATCTCCTGTTACTAGGGCTGTGGAGTCCTTCCCTCTAGAAGGGCTAAGGGGACCCCAACCAGCCTCTCCTTCTACCTCACAGCCTGAGGGCTATGGCGGACCACCTCCCCTAGCTTCCTAGTCCTCCTTCCTACCTCAAAACACCATAGCCAGGCTTCAAGGCTAGCACCGTCTCACTCCTCCTTGCCCTACTCTCACTAGTGCTCTCATGGGCTCAAATTGGCAGCATGGGCACCTCTCATGCTCAAATGGGGGCAGCACTCCCAGCTTATGTAGGTTGGAACTAGTGCACCGCCTAGCCCCTAGGCCTCTCCAAGTGCCCCCTTGGTAGGTCGAGGTACCTCCAAGGCCAAAATTCAAGTTTTGGCCTCTCTCGAGGTACCCGGGCCCTATTTTGGCCAGGGTTATGCAGCCGAAGTGGCTGGTACCACTTCGGACCACTCATAGGTCTACCCCGGCCTCTTTTCCTTCCCAAGCTGCTGTCTTTTTAGGGTACCCATGCCCAAAATGCTGCCTTTGGTGAAAATTGAGGGCCTAAAGACCCTTTTCTTGTCTTTTTCCAGATGTATGCCCTTTTGGAGTAGGCCGTTGCATTTTTCAAGTGGCGGCATCCATCTCAGCCTTGGATCTGGCTGAGATCCAAGGTCCACAATGCTCCGGCCTCTTTTCAAGTATCCCTACCTCCAAAATTGAGGCCTTTGCTTCAATTTTCAACTTTCTGATGAATCTGGCCCAACCCTTGGGCCAAATTCCCAGTTTTGTCCTTTTCCTTGCTTTGTTTTCCCTCCATTTTGCTGCCAACTCATTCCGGAGCTAGCCGTTTTGTGTCAGCCCACAAAAAACGGCTAGATCTCCTCCTTCACAATCTCTGATCTCAGATCTAAGGTCAAGGAAATAGCCGGCCAACTCACATCAGCATTTTTCTGCATTTTTGCTGATTTAACTTAGATATTGCAGAGATAATGCCCCAAGGGCCTTATCTCTGCAATCCGGACTGCTCTCCTAGAATCTTGGAGGGATGAGGTCATCATTGAGACCTGCCAGTCCCTACTGCTGCAGTCCCAACCTGGCGACATTTTTTTCTCCACCTTTTCCTCCCTCTCTGTCTCGTCTTCCTCCTTTTTCTCCCCCTTTTCTCTCCTCCCTTCTTTATTTCTGCAGGGACAAGTGTCCAACAACTATTTGCCCTCTTTCTAGCTATTGGACCCCACCCAAAGTCTGATTTTGCAGCCGGCACATGGCCGTTGTGCCTCGGACTGCAGTCTGGGCACCCCCACGGCTCTAGGGGCTCCATTTGGCCGCTGCTACTCCCCGTCTAGGTCCTTTTCACTCCGATTTTCCCCGGGCACCCCTTTTTCCTTGCGGCCCTCCTGGAACTTTATTTTTCTTGGCCCGGCTGGCCCCGACCATTCCGGATTGTCAGCCGAGCCTCCTTGCCGCTACTGCTCTACTATTCCCGCGGCCTCCCGCGCCGGCGCTTGGTGTATTTTTCCCATCGTGACCCACGGTCCAGATGGGGCCGTCCGCAGGCGCCACTTGGCTATTTTTACCGTCTACCCCATTTAGTTCAAGACTCCTCTGGGGCATCCCAGGTCCTTTCCGAATTTCTCGCGTCACCCCCGCTCCTTTTCATTTTGTCAGTGATTCTCCATCGACGCCCCGACTTTTTCCTGCTTTTCCGCTAATCTTAGTTCCTCTTGTCTTTTTCGGCTTTGCCCCAGGTGACGTTCCTGTTTTCCCTTGGTCCATCTGGCGTCCTCGTCGTCCAATTGCTAACTATTTCGCCGACGTCTTCTGATACTTGGTTCTTTGTGGCCTCCTAATACTTGGTTCCGTCGACCGCTCCTGACACTTCCCTGTTCACAAGCTGCGTCTTCTGCATTTGCGTATTCGTAGCCGTCTCTCCTGTTTTTGCCAGCTTCCCTCGTCGTTTTCTACCCGATAGGCTGCTCTCCCTAGACGGCCCGTCTTTTCCGCGTCTTGTCACTGCTCCCGATTTTCTCTAATGTGCACAAATCGGCCAAATCCAAGTTCTCGAGTGACGGGAATTTATTCGGCTCCCACCGGGCCCGACACCGTCCACCAGCTTTTGCGTGGGATGGATAGGGGGGGGATGATGATGTCTGTCGTTTAGGAGTGGAGTTAGCATGTGCTGCGGTTGATGAGGAGGGTCAACGTGTCGGCGGACATGATCGAGCCGTGCGTGAGTGAGGTTGCCATCCGCAACCTCCACATGCTAGAGCCCGCGCAGGTCGCGACCCACCTCCTCAACCCTCGTCGACGGTCCCTCACGTATTACGAGTCGTTACAGACGATCGCCGATGACGCCCGTGTGGTCGAGGAGTGCGACAGATTTCTCCTGGCGCAGACCGGCSGYGATTCGGTCGGCWRACTRTACAGGACYGTGAGGGASYAGATGAGGCACTTCCACTCGAGGCGAGGAGATTGGGGAGATCGGTCCCTCTCCGATGCCGAGGCGGACGATTGCAGGGGGGACCGCGAGACCGAGCGTTGTGCGGCGTGGTGGTTTGACCATGGACGTGCCCACCCGGAGTTGCGCACCATGGCCATCCGTGTCATGCACTTGTGGACGTCTGCCTCTCCAGCGGAGAGGAACTGGGCTCAGCACGAGCGCATCAACACGGCGAGGCGCGTCAAGCTTGGGTTTGCCAAGCTTGCACAACTGGTTGAGATTGCCGCCAATCTCAAACTGGCCTCGTGCGCACGGCAGGGTGGTGGGTACGTGTTGCCATGGGTTATGGGGACCGGTCGGGAGCGGATGGCTGCAGAGGACGAGGATGAGGAGGGAGACGTGGAGCACGAGGTGTGGGGAGCACGACCTGCTGGCAGTGTTCCGGAGCAGGACATCCAGCGGTAGATTGTCGCTTTCCATGACAACCGACCGTCCAGAGCCCATTTGGTTCAGGACGTGTTTGGCAAGAGGGCGACGGAGCTGCGACCGTGGCCGGAGGGTGGGGATGATGCGGACGCTGATGCGGGAGACGACGACATCGACGACCAGTTGACAGACGATGATGACGCGCCGCTGAGTGGCGACGCGACGGTTGAGCGGGTGTACTTCACTTACGGTGGGGGACATGACGACATGGCTTCATTCACATCAGTTATCACTACTGATGTGCCGTCGACCGGACAGGCAAGTGGCAGCAGCAGAGCCGGCGGTCGTCGTGGAGAACGTTCGCACGCGGAGGTTGGCGTCGACGACTCGGGGGAGCAGGAGCCACGGGGAGGCCTTCGGCAGACAGGCAGGCGTTGGGAGGTTAGGAGTGACAGTGAGGCCGAGGAGGAGGCCGAGGATGAGGAGGTGCACCTTCGCGATCGTCGCTTCTCTCCCTCCCATCATCTGAGCACTGCACAACCCGAGGCACTTAGGCGTTCGGAGAGGTTGGCGTCGACAGCAGGCAGAGACTGGACACATGACGGCGAGGATCGTGGGGGGGAGAGGACTCCTTCCGACGCCGGTATCCGCCTCCGCTCGCCGTCGGAGCTCCGCACACACGACTTTGACGTCGGAGGACTTGGTGGGGGCTTGGGAGATTTCAGTGCTGAGGGACGTCAACGTGCCTCACCGTCTGAGGTGCGCACCGACGAGGACGTTGTGCGGGGCCGTGTTGAGACTGAGGAGGAGCGGGATGCCCGTTTGGACCGAGAGGAGGAGGAGCGGCTGGGGAGTTTGCCAGGATGGGAGGGTCGGTTCGCGTATGTTGAGGACCAACGTCGGCAGAGGGAGTTGGAGACAGGAGGGGGGGAGGCCGTGACGCCGAGGACTCGGGTGTCACTGAGGAGGCAGTTCAGGGGGAGTTCGTTGACGAGGGACAAGATGCCGCCGCGGGTGGTGGGTCAGGTGGTGGACGACGCGGCGACGGGGAGACCGTGGGTGATGATGGGCAAGATGTTGCCGTGGGCTGTGGGTCCCCTCGTGGAGGACGTGGTGACGGCGAGACCGCGGGTGATGAGGGACAGGGTGCTGCCGTGTGTGGTAGGGGAGAGGGTGGACCCGGTGGAGATGGGGATACCGCGGGTGTTGAGGGAGACGATGGACTGGACGGAGATGATGACGACGACCACGGTCCCGAGGACGATGGCTCGCCTTGGTGTTGAGGGACCCCACAGTACCTCCATTGCGTCCTGACGACTTAGCGCACACTTTCTTCGATGTCGACGCTTTGGCGCAAGCGTTGACAGATGACCCTTTCGCACACACGGGCCGTAGGAGCGACAAGAGGCGGCCCCCTAGAGGGGAATATTCACCGTCGCCATTCGTATTGCAGAGCCCTCGATGGTCAGGTTCGTCGCTCAGCGGCGTGAGAGGGAGGGAGTTCGGAGCGGGTGAGGTGGGGTCCAACAGACGCAGCGAGGGCGGCAGAGACAGTGCAGGATCGATGCCTCCACCGCCCGCACGGGCTGCGGAGGCTGGCGTCGACGCCGAGGACCAGACGGCGGCACCCGAAGTTGCGCACAGTGGCGGTTCCCCGCCGACAGTCCGAGGTGGTGTGGGTGGCGGATGGTCAGCTGTTCGTCGGGTCAGGGACCGGTTGCGGGCGGATTACGACGTCGGGAGGGGCGTCTTCGCGGGACGTAGGCTAGTTCAGACGCAGGCTGCGGAGGGTGGGTCCGGACGTCCGAGCCTGCAGATGGCAGGCCGCATGCTCGGTTTGTCACGAGCGGCGACGAGGAGATCATTGGTCCTCGAGGCCGCAGGGACATCCACGGACATGCTGCGGGGACAGCAGTACACATCGGGCGAGGAGGGGTTGTTGATGCGTCCCGGGACGAGACGACAACACGGCCATTCGGAGGTTGAGGCTCGACTCGCGGCAGAGGTCGCTGCTGGCCAGGCAGCATTGGACGCGATTCAGAGGGAGAGAGAGATGGGGATTGCTGCGGAGGCTGCGGAGGACGAGGACGCAGACACTGAGTCCAAGCCGATCGAGACTGCGGCCCGCAGACAAAGGGCACAGGTGGCTGCTGCAGCCGCTGCAGCACATGCGGCATACCTCAGCGGGGCACAGGGCACAGGTGCCGGAGGGAGAGGAGGGCACCGGGAAGGACCGCATGGCCGCCCGTCCTCCGGGAGAGGCCATGCGCGCTCTGGAAGGAGATGACAACGTTCGTGTATTTTTTTTTTTTCATTAGTTTTTTTTTTTGCGTGGCTGGACGCTCTGTCCGCAGGGTTGTTGCATATTTATGTCGACGTTGTTCCATGGAAACGACGACAGTATGTGGACATTAGGGTTTCTTTTTTTTTTTTTTTTTTTTGCTACTGGGTTGTACGGTAGAGACGACGGGTCCAGTTTTTGGCTTCAGCCTTGTACATACGCATTTCCATTGAAATGCTTTGTCATTTATTTGCTCTGGTTCGTGTTCCTCTCCCAACCTTGGTTTTGCATCTGAGTCGCTGTTGTTTGGTGAGTGGTTTCTGGTTTGTTGTCGTGATTGTTGCAAATTATGTGCTTCTCCGATGTGCTAATGAATGTGTTTTTACACAAACTTCCACCAGTCTGATGAGTGAACACACACTATGACACACTTGCCTGTTAACATTGTTTGAAACTTATGGTTGGCCGCATTGTGATTGATTGTGAATGTGTTGTGACTTTGGTATGCCAACTAGGGTCTGACCTATGATTGCCATGAATGTGTTGTTTCAAAATATGTCACGAACTATCATCACCCTCACGAATGAAATCGACGCCTGCCTAAGGCCCTGATTTGCCTGGGGTCTGCCATCTGCAGCCCCGCCCAGCTTCGACCCGACCTGGCCGCACGGGCCGCCCCAACCAGGCCCTCATCCAACCCCCGTTGGGCCGCCCCCGCAGGGGTCAAATAGTTTTATTTTATTTTTCTAGTGTTCCAGACCCTCTTCCCTGCGACCCCACATCGACGAACCCACACGCGGGGGACGCACAAATTTTCGTGGCCCACCCTTCCAGGGCCATGTGCAGGACCCCCCCGTTTTTTATTTTTTTGACGCTCTGCCACTTTGAGGGGGTGCCCCCCCACCCCCCCACCTAACCCGCTCCCCGCTTCGGAAACCGCCTCCCAGATCGGCTGAGGACGAGGCCGAAAAAACTCGGCCGGACCGGTCGCGGCCGGGGGTTCCCGGCCGCGGCCAGCGTGGAACATAGCATAAGTCGCGACTGCTTGGAGAGGCTGCACCTATAGGACCGGGTACAACACCTTAGTAGACCGGTAGCATCTACTTTGGCCAATAAGGAGCGCATGGTTGTCACAGACTATATCAAGGATGTAGTTTGTACCTTCTCCTATGGAGGAGGGGAACTTGATCATAAGATTTTGTTCCTGATTAGCGATGACTTACCATTCCATATGTTGTTAGGGATGTACTACCTTGAGGTTGCCAAGCCCCAGTTCGACTGGGACAAGAAGGTGCTAAAACATAAGTTGCCTGATGGAAGAACAGTGAGGCTGACTAAGTTCAAAGCCAGTAGTATAATCCATACCTATGGCTGCTTGCGTGCATCAACATTCTATAACTATTATAAACAGAACCAAGAGGAGGGTATGTACCTAGTGTATGTCTCTGAGAAAAGGGAGGCCGTTAAAACACCCCCAGAGATAGAACACGTCGTTGCTAAGTTCCCTGATTTGTTCAAAGAGCCCACAGGAGTCGTAGAGAGGGAGATAGTCCATGCCATAGAAATCATTCCAGGGAGTAAGACCCCAAAGGGAAGAATCTATAGGATGGCTCCGGCTGAGTTGGACGAACTTCGGCGACAACTGAAAGAGCTGACAAAAAAGGGATGGATTCAGCCGAGTGCTTCCCCCTTCAGATCTCCAGTGTTATTTGTACCGAAGAAGGGGGGTACATTGAGGATGTGCATTGATTACAAAGGCCTCAATGCCATCACTGTGAAAAACGCAGAGCCTCTACCTCGCATAGACGACCTATTGGATAGGGTGCAGGGATGTAAGTACTATAGCAAGATAGACTTAAAGTCCGACTACCATCAGATCGCAATAAGACGTGAGGATCACCACAAGACTGCTTTTCAGACCAGATATGGTCTGTATGAGTTTGTAGTGACGCCCTTTGGCCTTTGCAATGCGCTGAGTACATTCCAGCATGCCATGAATAGGATCTTCCATGACCACTCAGATAAGTTTGTCGTTGTCTACCTTGATGATATTCTTATCTTTAGTAAGTCTGTCGAGGAGCATGCAACAGCTCGTTGAGACTGTACTTTCACTCCTGCGACAACACAAGTATAAGGTCAACCTCGAAAAATGTGAGTTTGGACGCACTAAGATCTTATACTTGGGTCATGAAGTATCCGCGGAAGGTATTAGGCCGAAAGATGCGAAGGTGGCTAGTATAAGGGACTGGCCACGACCTCAGACTGTTACTGAGGTCAGGTCTTTCTTAGGAATGTGCGGCTACTATAGAAATTTTGTAAAGAACTATTCCACAGTCGCCTCTCCTTTGACTGATCTAACTCGACTTGACACGCCGTGGGACTGGAGTGATGAGTGCGAGGTTGCTTTCAAACGATTGAAGCATGCACTCATGAATCATGAGGTTCTTATGGTGCCCGATCCTCAGAAGCCATTCATAGTGACCACTGACGCAAGCCAATACGGCATTGGCGCAGTGCTGGCTCAGCAGGATGGGAAAAAGTTTAGACCGATTGAGTATATGAGCAAAAAAATACCATCAAAGAAACTGGCAAAGTCCACCTATGAAAGAGAACTCTATGCTCTCTACAAAGCACTTGTCCATTGGAGACACTTCCTGTTGGGACGGTTTTTCTACTTGAGAACTGACCATTAGACCCTCAAATGGATCAAGACTCAACCGGCTCTTTCTGATGCACTCAAGCGCTGGATTGAGGTCATAGATCAGTATGACTTCAAGCTAGAGTATCTGAAGGGGGAGTACAACAAGGTTGCAGATGCGCTGTCCCGTAGAGCAGACTACATAGGGGCGCAAGTTTCTGAGTTTGGTGTATCTGAGGAACTAACTCAATCGCTGGTGGGAGCCTATCAAGAAGACCCTGTCACGATGGACATCATACACAAACTTCAGGCAAAAGACAAGGCCACAGAAGATAAGTTTGTGATGGTGGACGGGATTCCCTTTCTCGATAAGGCCGGATTTAAAAGGTTCGTTGTTCCATCTAGTGAACATTTGCGTTGTTTATTCTTAGGAGAATGTCATGACGCAACCGGACACTTTGGCTACAAAAAGACGAGTGCCAATCTAGTACAGCGATTTTGGTGGCCCGGAATACTAGAAGATGCAAAGAAGTATGTTGAGACCTGTCAAGTCTGTCAGCGGGACAAGCCGCGAACTCAAGCACCGCTTGGGTTGCTGAAGCCCTTACCTATCCCCGCTGGTCCAGGACAGAGTGTTTCCATGGATTTCATGGACACCTTGGTGACCAGCAGGAATGGCAAGAGGCACATCTTTGTCATCATAGACCGATTTAC